TTAAGAAACGCTCCTTTTTTGTTTTTTAGCATGACAAACAAAATGTGAAAAAGCATCTGATATTCATAACCAAAGCATCTGATGCTCACTGTTATGTAGAGAATCGGTGATGCTGTGGGCCTATTTCTTTTCCATTCAACCTGGGAATCCACCGTGACATCACAAGGTGTTTAAATAACGTCCATCCATCCCTCTGATCATCAGTCCATGCCTTTCCTTGCAAGAGGTGGCGTGCTTCCTGGATGGGTCGCCAATCCAACACAGAAGTCATGAGGCTTTAATTTAAAATGTTCTGGTATTTTCCCTCCCCCCCCCCCGTTTTAAAAATCTCCTCACACACGTTTTAAAAATTTGGCTATAAAACTTGTCTTTTCAGTTCACGCCAATGCAATCTGAATAAAATGCTCGCGTTAATGAGATGGTGAACCAACGCGCACGATATGTGGCCCTCTGGGGCCCCGGTGCAACACCATTTGGTAGTTTAGCTGGAGTAGTCTGGCACTCTCAGAGTATATTTAACCCTGTGGCTCCCCTGCTGGATGGGCCCTCCATATACGGAGCTGAGCGTGAGTGAGATTGCGCGGCAGAGGTCGCAGAAACAGCGGCGATGACGGGGTGATGGATGACTGTGAGCGAGATGGAGGGAAAGCAGCCGTAAGAAGGCAAGGGAGCGCTGTCGCTGTTGTTTTTATTGACAGGTTTTAATTTTATGTCCTCATGCAGAAAATCACAGAATACAAACTACATTTCTGTGACTTTTTGAAGGGAAAAAAACCCCCTACACACTTTTGAGAACAGTTTGACAGGAGTAATTGTCGGGATGGATGCGCGCTGTGATCAGAAGACAGTAACGGCAGCCATGTGAGAGAATAAATCAATGTGACCTTGCAGACACAAGTGTAAACATTTCTGAGCATGTCACCGTGTGTTCAAGAGAGAGTGAGACAAACAGAGAAGCAGTCAGACAGTGCATGGCATGCATCAGACGAGTGTTTGGGCGAGTGTGCATGTGTGAGTAGTGTGCAACTGTGTACGTGTTTGTGCGCGCGTGTGTGTGTGTGTGTGTGTGTGGGTTGGTGACAGGTGTTTTGCAGGAACGGTGTTAAGCTGTAAGTGTTTTCCCAGCCCGAGCCCTATTCCTGATGAACACAGATGCTCTCACACACAAGGGCCGCCATGTTTAAGATCCCAGTGAGTGCTTGCTGCTACGCCCATCAGAACCGGGAGGTCCACAGGTGTGTACCGTGATCATACTGTGGCATATTCATAAAGTGTAGTACGGAAACCTTAGTGGAAATTTATCTCTATTCTCTAACTGCGCGTATCAACAACTTTGAAGTCTTAGTTATCAAGCCATTAATGCAAACTTAGGAATAAACCAACAGGATCTTGGATCCTCACATGATCCGAAATATAAGTGGATCAACTTGTGCAATTTCAAAGGACTTGTAATGCATTTGTAATTTTTTAAAACCAAAACTATGATCTGAAAGGGGTTTCTGTTCTGCCAGCACAGAGTGACTCAGCTCAGAGCAAATCTGCTCTTGGGTCGAATTTGTAGAACCAGTGAACCAGTGAAGGCTGATGGGAGTTTTAAACTCAGGTCTTCTGCAGCAGCCAGCTGCTTAATCTAACTTTTATCTAAGCAGGAACAACATCTGGATGGAGATGCTTGAAACTGTTGTGAGTGCTGTGTGGATTCACGCCCCTGAGTTTCTTCACTTTTTTCTGTACACTTTTTGCCACTTGACTTCTTCTGCAGACTTTGTGCTATTTAAACTTTCCCCATATTATTCAGGACTACCAGCTTTTGGTATTGACAAATTCTATGGTTTATAAAATATTCAAATTTTTGTGATCATCTTGGGCCCCTTTGAAATGAAAAGAACATTAATGTTCCTTTCATGGTATGATGAGCTTTTCAACTACTGAATACTTCGATGCATTTTCAACTAGAAATGACACTAAAACTTGAAACTGTAGCATTATCCTTCAACTACTTCTGTTTATTTCACTTTTTTCTATTTTTTTTACAGTTTTCATAAAATCCAGCTTTAAGTTTTTGCTGGTATTACGCTTTTTATATCCTTAAAAAATAGTAAAAAACCACATTGGCCCTGTAGTTCTGAGGTTCCCAATCTAATCCTCCCTCTTAGCCCTGCTTATAATGTTTTCCCAGAAAATGCTAATTTTCTAGTTATGTCTGTCCCTTTCTATAACAGTACGAGACCGTTTTTAACTTTCTGTTGAAGAAAAAGTGTCAATATTCCTTCTCCCAAACTTCTGCATGCGGCAGTATGGTGCGAACTTCCTGAGTGATTCCTAAATAGCGTGGTGCACTCGGTGTAGGCGCCGACTCAAAAACAGTTCCCCTCATTAAAAGTGGATACCAGCGATGACTTGAAGTTTATTTCCGCGTTCAGACTTGGGGGGGAGAGCTGATGCCGGGACGGCTGAGTGGCAACCTCCAGCCGCATAAATCACCTGCGGTATGTGTGGCGTTTGATTACCACACCAAAGCTGGAACCACAAGAGCCCAGTGTTGAAATATCAGCCAAACGGAGTCCATCAAGGCTGCTCCAGAACGCTCTGTGTGCGCTGATAATGCCCAGAGAACAATAGCCACCGCATCCTTGCATGGCAGGCCGAAGAAGCAGGAAATGACTTCTTGTTTTAACAGCTTGGCGCCGTTATGGTGAAACCTCACTGAAAGTAGTGGGGCTGGCTGGCTTGATTCTCCCAGTAAGATGTAATTGACAGTGTGAAGGGTCATAAGTAGAAAGGGCTGCAAAAATAGTTAGCTGAACAGAAGGTCCCATTTCTCCAGAGCCGGTTGACAACACTTCTATTAATAGTGAGGATTGTCCTTGGGTATTTTTATAAAAGGTGTGTGTGTGCTAGCGAGAGAGAGAGAGGAAGAGTGTGTGTGTGTGTGGACATGTGAATGTGCATGTGTGTGTGTGTGCAAAGCAGAAGAGGATGAGGATTTCTCAGAGAAGACAGGAAGAAGATCCTATTACAGCAGCAACCTCAGACACTGCTCAGCTCATGCGTCAGGCCTGCCGGCTTATATCACTCCCCTCAAACCTTGTCCTCCGTCTCCCCCTCCATGCACTTAATGTCACACATTCCATGTAGCTTTGCGTTTCTCTGTAATTTTCACCACACACGCACACACACATCCCCGGTCTATTTATAACCCAGTGCGGGGTTTTAAGGTAAAACTCTGTTGACTCCTTGTCTTACCCCCAGCTGCATGCCTTACAAGGACCCCCTTGGAGCGCACAGTCGCTTAGCAACCGGTGGTGTTTGCACCTAAGCTGTGAAGGTCCGGCGCACGACCCCCACCTGCCCTTCGTCGTCCTAATTATCAGCGCTCAAGTTGTCTCGATCCTGATGGATTTCATTCATCGCAGAAGCTGAAAACCTTGTGGACAAACTGAGAAGAGTTGAAGTAGATGGAGATCTGAATATAAAGATCCGGGCTCGCAGCACATTTACGACAGTGATTTGTTTGTTGATGCACAGTGGAGAGATGGTTAGGTGCTAAAAGACCACATCTCAAAAATGCACGCATTCAGAACCCTTTTACCATCCAGGAGGACGTCAAGTCAGCTGGTTTTACTGGGAGATTAAAATGAACTGAATACTAAAACAGCATTTTGACATCTGAGATTGTTTTTCTTTTTTTTTTTTTTTACTTTGTTTTCCACACACAAAAAAGAAAACAATTGAAATGCATCATTTAAGGTTCCAAATTGATTTGGCATTTACAAGCCCATGGCGAAATTAAGAGACCGCTTAAAATTGTCAGTTTCTCTGATTTTACTCTTCATAAGTATATGTTTGAGTAAAATCAACATTGTTCTTTTATTCTAAGAACTGCTGACAACACGTCTCTGAAATTCAAAGCGAAGAATTTTGTATTTATTTGCAGACAATAATAATTGGTCAAAATGACGAAAAAGATGCACTACTTTCACACTTCAATGCAAAGAAAACAAGTTTATGTTCATTTAGAAACAACAACACGAATATTTTAACTCAAAGAGTTCAGAAAATAATATTTGGTGGAGTAAACATGAGTTTTTGTTTCTTTATTTTCTAGAGCCGAATATAAACCTTTCATTTATACAGTAGCTCTGTTTGGAATAATCCTGATAATGTTGCTGCATTTGCTGCTTCCAGCTCTCAGCCAGATGGGAAGTCCACTCACCACAAGAGATCCAAGATATATTTTTTGAAAAATATTCATCAATATCTTCAGAAAATTCAATTAAAAAGCAGAACTCTGGCCGTCCATTTGTAACGATATTAGCACTGGTGCTGATGCTTTGCCAGCGCTCCCATAAGAAATTATAACAATCACTATAATCCACATTGTTGGACTATCTTATTACAACATTTCCAATTTACCTGATCGTACCCTGATGTCCCACAATGTCATAAAGTCCAATTAAGTTCATTACCCCCAGAGAGGGACGGTGAGCGGCTCACAGAGTGACAGAGAGCCGCGGTAATGACGGGAGGAGAGTGTTGGAGCAGAAATGTCAATGCCATTAGAGAGCTGGAGAGACATGCTGGAGGATAAGTAGTTATCCACGCAGTCTGAGGGGAAAATAGTGAGAACTGGAGAATACAACATGGCAATAAGTGGTATAGTTGCATTAATTAAGGCCAACCTTAAATTTGCGCTTGTTGAATGTGACATTTAGTTACCAGGTGCAGGAAAATGGATTACGTAAAAGCATGTTGGCATCAATTTGGACTTAAACACTGAGGTGCACGAGGCATCTAGAAAAAATAAAAAACATCCTAATAAAAGAACAAGTATGTTGTGAGTTCTAGAGTGGAAAAAAAAACGTTCTTTTTGAGAAATATCCAGTCAGTCCTATCCTCCTGCTTTTTTTTCCACATTTTATTTTGATACAACCTCAAAGTTTACTATATTTATTGTAATGCACATAAGTTCATCTACTGATCATTCAAACATCCGCCAGTCACACTTTCAGATTTTTATTTGAAAATGACTGAAACATAAATATGCTGCACTTAGTGGCGTAATGTAATGTGAGTTTAAAAAGGTCTGTAAGAAACTATATGGGGTCCAGAAAATTCTCACAACATAGATTTGAGAATATTTTTTTTTTATTTATCCTCAGATAACACAATATTGCTATCATGACAGACACATACAGATCTGAAAATCCTTATTGCTTCCACAAAGTACAAAAAAGCTTTTCATAGACTCGGTTTTTGTCTCCACTCTTCTGACAGCAGTTACTACTACTGATGAAATCTACTGGGGGACAGAAAGCCCACATGATGTTCGAAACGACGCAGTTTTACAGTTTTTCAACACACCTCACATTTTCATTTCTCCCGAAGGAATAAAAACCTCCAACATTTGTTTTCTGAGCCATAAGCAGTTACAGCGATGGCCACCAGGGGGCGGTAAAGGTCTCCAACATGGCTCACACGCTCAGTAAAGTACACGTTTGTTATGGCTGGATAAAAATCAGTGGAGTTTCAGTCAAAAGCATACATAATAAAAGAAATATATACATACATATATTAAACAATAATGCAAATTAAAATATAGTTATTTCCAGTTATAAGCCCCTCCCACCCCCCCAAAAAAGCTGGATCACATCAAAACAATTTTATAACAAAGCAGCAATGCTCATCTTAATGAATAATTAAGGATGTCTAATAGGGATTTAGGTTAAAATGCAACTTAAACTCAAAAATGACAAACTATGGAAACCCTGAGAGGCAGGCAGACATAAAACAGCTGTTTTAAGTTGTGATACAAAATGTTAATTTTCTATCGACGCCAGATGACTCAATACAAATGATGGCATCATGTGTTAGAGAGCATTTTCTAAGGTTTTGAATTTTACACGTGGCTGAAAATGAACGCTTGAGAACATGGTGGCAGCATCAAGCTGTGCTTTTCTTCAGCAGGGATGTGGAAGTTGGTCAGAGGTGATTTAATTGTTTATAAAATACCAAATAGGGTTTAAGCATAAAAAGGATACACAGTTAGAAAGTAGATTCTTGGGGAAAACAAACTCTTTAAGTGATTTTTTGGGGGAATCCATCTTTCGCTTCAGAACTGAAGAACATGGGAGTAACTTAGAAAAAACTTTATATTAATTGACTGATTGTCAGGCGGTAGTCTTGTGGTTTTTTTTGACAATAAAAAGTTCAGTGTTAAAATCTGCAACTCCTTCACATTTCCTCAGACACGCACTCAGAAATCAAAACAGAAAGAGAAAACTGTCAACTCCAACCTGACCAGAATATAGATCTCTGTTTCATTGGCATATATATTTCTTCTGGTTAGAAGCACATAAAAATAAACAGTATTATATACGGTTTATAATAACGTGAGGAATAATACCTAGAGGAATGCTATATTTTACAGAACAGCATTAACTTTCTGCGATGTACTTATCTTTAGTACATCATTATAATAAAATTCCTCTCTATGACATCTCTAGGAAAGATTTTCTAAAATTAAAAGTGTGGCTTCGGGTGAACGCAGGCGTCCTATAGGTTGCTGAAGAGCTCGTTTTTCTTGGTCCAGTCCATGGGTGGCGCTCTCTTGTTGGAGCGTTTCTGGTGGGTGAGCTCTTTGACCTGCTGCAGCGTGAGGTTCAGAGCTGGGATGGCGTTTGTGACCAGACCCTGAGGAAGAAAACAAAGCAAAACAAAAGAAATGAACTCGTCTGTTTGAAAAGGCTCCACTTTAAGAGCTAAATCATATACGAGGAGGCTGATTATTTTCTGCAACGTACCTCGGGTGGGGTGTGTGCGGATGGGGTTGTGAGTGAGGCGTTGGACGACGCGTTGGACGGAGAAGGACTGATGGAGAGCTTTGAGTTCCTCCCTCTCTCTTTGGGTACTCTGCCATTCACCTAATCAGACAGACATTCATCAGCATTCCTTCAAAGATTCAAAGACTTTATGCAATAATATTTAAAGCAAGACAGCAGGAAGTCAAGCTTTGTTGAAGTATCTAATTTCGCCACAAGGGGGAAGAGTTGGCTTTGAAATATTTTAGAAAACTATTCAGAACTGACTCACTTTAACACTTTAATAAAATAAAGTGCGCCCCAAAAACAGGGCAAAACATTCTTATCTGAAAATTTTGTTCTAAATCTTTTATAGCATATAATTTTATTTTTACAATGATAAAATCTCTAAATTTATTTTGCAAAAACATAGTAGGAATTTGATAAAAAAAATAATAAAAAGCTGGTAAACAAAAATAAAATGAAAAGAAAAGAAATATTTGTTCCGGCTGCAAATGAATCTCAACTTGATGCTGTATCAGCAAAAACCTTTCCAGCTCATTGATCACAAACTTGTTAACATGCTACTGGTTAAACATTTTCATCCACCAATAATCCAGCATTTCACCTGACCTCTGGGTTCGTCTTCGCCCTTCGATGCTCATCAATGCGCATTACAGAAAAAGTGTGTCTGAGTTACATTCCTGAGTAACAGGAAGTGCCGGTCAGGTTTCACTCCGCATATCTGGCCCAAAGCCAGAGTCAGACTGGTCAGCGTAAAACAGAGCAGTTTCTCTTAATTCTCTGTGTGGGTGTATTCACCTAAAACAATATCACTTACATGTCGATATGGTGTTTTTACACAGAGGTGAGATATTCTAGATATCTGGCACTTCTGAGGAAAATGGCATTGAAACAACAAACACAAGTGCAAGGTTATGAGGTTTTGTTTGCATATGCAATACCTGATTTCAAAGAAAATGTTTGGCAACCGGGAAAGTTAGTGGAAAGGTAAACAGTGATTCAAAGTTTGGCTGTGCCCAAGGTCGCTAACAAAAGCAGCAACTTTTTACTATATAAATCTTTGTTAAATCTGGACAAAAAAAACGTTCCCATTTACATTGTTCAAACTTATTTAAGAGAAAAACATATTTTTTCATATACACTCTATGAAGCACACAAATCATCCAAACGTTTTGGAGAAGCGGTGGGGCGGAGACTTTAGCAGATCTCCACACAATAAAGACCAGCTTTGTCAGACAATGACAGGAAAGACTGTTCTGTAAACATCTTTGATTAATAAGTCAATTCATCAGTGAATCAATTTTCCAAAGTAGCACACCCCTTTAACAAAAAAGAAAAAAAGAAACACATTTTGCTTCTGAAAGTCATTGGTTTCAAGGAGTTCTTGAAGCAAAAACTATTCTTGTCCTCTTTCTGTTGGCAGGAAGTAGCTGGATCAGGAGAGGAAAGGCGCCTCTGCGGGAGATTGGCTATCTTTGCACACTTAAAAGTTCAAATCACACACTAAGTTTTTGTTTCAAAGCCAGCTGATGAAAAAATAAATAAAACAAATCTCTGAAAACTCGTAGATGAGTCTGTTATTGTTGGTTAATCTTACCTTTTCTTCTGTTTCTCCATTAATGACTGGCTCTGGAAGTGGACCTGAAGATCGAAGAACAAAATAAAATGTTATTTAGGGAAATGTCCCAGTGTGTCTCAGCTGGAACAGAAATTCAACAAATTTTTATAAAAAGCATGCTGGAGTTCTTTTCTTATAAACCACATGCTGAAAAGTTGAAGCTGTAGCGTTACCTTCCATCCTATTAACTCCTTTACTGCCTGAACAGACGACTTCTTATAAAAGTCTAATAAGAAATAATTATAAATTTAAATCTTCTAATGCTTATTGCCTGTGTAACTCTGTGTCCTCCTTAAAACAAGCCTCAACGCAGCCCTGGCATGAGTGGCGGCTTGTACCGGACTTTGTGGAAACCAAACAAAGTGCTGTGCAGCAAAGGCTGCTGGGAGACGTGCAGCGGTGTGCGTCGGTTTGCTGAGTGAGATCGAGTGGGCAGCGTGTGGAGAGCTGGCAGTTACCTGGGAAACACCTTCCTGAAATCTTTCCCCTGCAAAGAGGGTTATTATTTCTAATTCTGGACTGAGCAATATAATCCGTCATGGAAATAAAGAAGGTAGACATCGGTCTGTAGGAGGAAATTGATTAAAATACAACAAATTGATGGTATGCAGGTAGATGTTTGTTTTTCTTTTTCTTATTAGTTTTTTACCGTTCTGCACTTTGAGTAGACACAAATCTAACAACATGGGTAATTAGAGGGGCTATCTGCTCCGACAGCGATGCTTCTACTAACTGCTTTACAGACCAGCTACCAGGCCAAAAAGTAGACCAAACAAAAACTCAATTCCAAAATATTTAAATACAACAAAATGTATTTAAAATGGAAACTCAGCATAAAAATCAGACACTTTTTTTAGTTTTAGGTTACAGCTCCAGTTCCCAAGGTGTATGACGTGTCCTTGCTTCAACACACCTCATTCAGACAGACAGATTATCTCCTCAGGATGTCACTTTAGCTCTGCAGAGGTCTGATAACAAATAATTCACTTCATTCAAGTGCCCTGCATCTAAAATGTGCAGGAAACCACACAACTTGTGTACAATGCTAAGTCCGCACAATATTGGGCTTCTGTGGTAAAATATCCTATGATTTGTACAATTTCTCTCACTTTGGCCAATAAATGTAAACCCACAAGCACAGAAAAAATGAAAGGGAACCTGTCTGGTTCTGAATATTAATCTTTAAAGTCCAACGAGGCTTAGCTGAGGCTCAAACTGTTCAAACTATGCAGTCATTCCACCGACTTGCTTTACCTGACCTATCATTGACTAAGAAATCAACAGACCAAGAAACCTTATATGTTTAATATAAGTAGATTAAAATGTCAACTTGTTTTGGGTGCAAAATAAAAACCTGGAGTTGAGATGTAGAGTTCCTCTACTGTTGCCTTATTTACATTTAAACATCTCTGCCTGGGTGCAAAGGCGTTCATGTTTATAAAAGGAATCTTTTGGTAAAACGGTTCTCAAGGTCTTTAATAAAAAGTGAAAGCCACACACATGTTGAGTGTTTAAGGAGCAATCTTGAGTTTTCTGGGAGAGGCTTTCGCATCAGAAACAAGAATTCACTAGAGCTCCCTCTAGTGGCTTATTAGAAAAAACAGCTCAAAACAAACCTCTTCTTGAGATAAAAAGTAAATTAAAGTAGTTTGTGAACTTCACCTCACATCCTCAGATTAAACATTTAACATTTGAGAAAATTCTGTAAGATTATTCAAATGTAGTTTTTATGTATATGTGTATTTCTGGTATGTATTTGCACTGTTGGGCTCAATTTCAGAAAATCTCTTTGCCCTCAAACGTAAGCAGCGCGGCTCGTCTCTGATCCGTCGGTTCTGATGCATTTATGCTGAAAAGATTAACTTTCCCTGCAGGGCAACAACATTAGGTGGTTCGGGCAGGAAGTGGCTTAGTGTCTGTGATCCTCAACAAAAAAAAAAAAAAAAAAAGAGAGAGAGAGGGAGTGGCTTGTAGAGAAAAGAAAAAAAAACATAGCAGAAGAGAGCCAAGGAACAAGAGGGGCAAGTGAAGTGGCTATAAATACCGCCAGTGACTGACAATGAACCTGGAGGGAAACATTACGAGATAATTGCAGTCATTCAATCAATCAATCAATCAATCAATCAATCAATCGCTGCCTCACAACTGCTGCTGATGTGAGTAGGATGGTGGTGGTGGTGGGGAAGCAGTCTCCTCACCAGTTAAGTGCTCGGAGGAGGGGGTCACCCTGCATCTCTTGAAGAAGACGTCGGTGTCGGGGTCCACCACGAGCAGCCGGGTCACGTCTCCGCCCGCTTTAATGGCGCCGACCACCTCTGAATGCGTCTTCCCCTCCACAGAGACGCTGTTCACCTGAAGAAGATAAAAAGAGTTTGGATCCTTTTACGTCAACCAGACACGGTTCAGAAATAACTACAGGGTTTTTTTATATTGTTATTTTTTCTATATGTTTGCTGGCATGTATTTTATCGCCGTCTTCTTTTCTCCACAGTATCAAACAGGAAGTCCTGTGTCCACACACACACAAAGAGTGCACATTCCTCCTTGTATTTATTCTCTTTTCAGAGACTATCGTCCCTTAAGAACGGCACAATCCATCATGGGTCAGCTTTCAGATCAGATGATTATTTTGCTGTTTAAATCTCCATGGGAAAGCATGTGAGAAATGTCTCAAGCCGTGTGTGTGTGTGTGTGTGTGAGTGTGTTTAGGTCACTGGGTGGACCTCCAGGACTTCAGCCCAGTCTTGTACAGAGGAAGCTGGACAATAGCAGCTCGGCCAGTAACAGCAGCAACAATGGCTGTCCGCTCCGTCCTCAGTGGGTGGCGTGGCTGTCTGGGGCCCTCTCAGGGAGTGGAGACCTAAGCACATCCTGCAGTCCGCTTAATCCCTCTCTTCTTCCTTTCATTACCTTTTATTGTACTGCTGCTGCTTATTATCATTATTATTTATTTATTTTTTTGCAAAGAGGAGTGTACCAGACTATGCTCTATCTGCATATTATTATGAAATTTGGTTTTTATGCTGCTTTGCCTGGAAGTTTCTTATTTTTTTTTAACATTTCCACTAGAGTCATTATTTATTAGCCTGACCGGAATCTCAGCGTCTACAGATCTGCCAGGTTCAACTAAAGGTTCCAAGTATTTTAACTTCACCTTATCTTTGGAAAAGTTTCATATCACTCTGACGGTGAGCAGCTTATTTGCTTCGTTTTGGAAAATGTATTGTTCCATCATATCTGCAGATGCAGTTTAAAAATGATGTTTCCAGTTAGCAGAAACAACTTTTTTGCAAACTGCCTTTGGATATCTGACTCTGATGTTTATCTTATTTTAGGCATAGATCGACTTGTAAATCCACATTTCTGCAAACCACAGAGCCGCACTCATTGGCCCTGGTTTAATAAACACTAAAAACCCACTGAAAAGGTTTTGGCAGTTCTCTAACAGCTGGTTTTATTCTGACCTCCGCTCGCCCAGCATCATCTGTCACGCCTCCAGTTGTCTAAAACTCCAACGTTATCACTCTGACAGTAGATATTAGCCTAATATCTGCACCTAAAATATTATTGTCATGACATCAAATCAGACTGAACATTCGCTCAATTTGGTCAGTTAAGATCACCTGAATTATTTCTTTGTTTAACGGAAAGAGAAAAACTGGTTTGTATGACAAACCAGTTTGAGAGATATGGGAAAGTTTTTTAGGCTGCGTTTCTCACTCTCCTTTTTCAACTCGGCCCAAACATTTCCAGCGGTGCTGAGATCTGGGTTTAGCAAAGATTGTTCTAAACGGGGTCACAGTAAGCTTTAACATCTGCCACCAAAACACTTTAATTATAGTTTCATCAGAACAGATTTCTAAATATTATCACTCCATTGTCGTGGAGCGACAATCTTTTTTTTATATTGGATTCTCCCGTTCTGAGTGGCCTTTCAGTCCATGCTCATACTTATTTCACTGCAGATAATGCTCTATTACCAGCATCAATCAGCATCTTTACATGGTCTCCTGCTTTTTGTTTATATTTTACACCTGAACATGTTCCTCTATGACACCCAACAAAGGAATGTGGCACTTTTTAAAAGTTGCTCCCCTGGGATAGTGAAGACAATTTTCTCTACTATCTTGTCTGATATATTTATTTATTTATTCATGTCCAAAAAACAAAGAAGCCATGTTAAGGACCTGTGTCTCTAATTAACTCAAACATATTGCCAAACTGTCACAACTTAATTTAACACATTTTTAAAGGCTTAGTAAATTCGTAAACTCTGGAATTTGAAGGAAGACTTTAAATAGATGCCACAATATTTTTGACATTTAGACATTGGAAATCATCTTGCCTATTGTGTATAAATCTAATTTAACAAAGAGGAAGTGTGTCTTTATACAGGGTTTTTTAAATGTGATTTATGCCCTTTTTAAAGGCATGTTCTCATGTTTTCCCCCCCATTTTGAACAGTGACTGAAGCAGATTAGCCTCTGTCTCACTGCTTCACATCAGACTCAGTCTTGAACTTTTTAAGACTGATTCAAATTTCCAACTGAACTTTTGGAAAATTCATTTGGAATTTTCCAAAATGAACTTCCAAATGAACTTTTTAAAAATAATCTAATCTTTGCTGCAGTCAAGAACGACTGAAACTGGTTCAAACAAGCAAAAGTGAATTCATGCCCTTACGCACGCCCATCACTTGATACCTGAAACGTGAAGCCGGCGGATCACAGAAAAGCCCAGAACAGCGAACATAAAAGGCTTTCAATCTCCAACCACACTGTGGATGAGGCCTCATTACACAACACACCATTCTTCTCTATTTTTGTCCAAGAAATCCTGAGCTGACGAGAGCGGAAGTGTGCAAGACTAATCAGGATGCGCCTGTGGGAATGTTTTCTGGCCGCCTCTTAAGTTTACTTCTATATGAATATAACACAGGACTGATCCACTTCGACATCCACTTAGCTTTAATGATGTCTCTGTGGTCATTTCCCGTCCTGCACGGCTTCAAAGGACTCCAGCTCTTTGACGTTACCTCTACTATCCTGTCCTTCGGCTGCAGGCCGGCCCTCTCGGCTGGAGAGTCGTCATCCACCGCTCTGATGTACTGGCCCGGCCGCGCCCGCTCGCTGTGCAGGTTGAAGCCATATCCGTTAGACCCGCGCCGGATCACGCAGAGACGTGGCCGCAGCTCGGCGCGCTCCTCCTGTAGGACAAAACACACATGTTAGGGATCTGAGCGGCAGGAGTGAAGCAACGGGTCAGGCCCTCAGGGAGGAAAAACAATAACTAAATACCTCCACCATGGGTGTCGGTTCAGAGAGGACAAGGGGCACGAAGATGACGGAGAGCTCCTGTGACTCGTTTACCATGAATATAAAGCCGAGAGCGAACATGCAGGTGTCTGCCGCTGCATGCTGCTTTGTTGTGTGCCGTGTTTCCAACAATCAGGGGTAAACTTCAGCGGCGTTTTCTCGGCCCACGTGACTCCGAGTGCTCGCCAGGAAGGAAAGAGGTTCTGTGATTGGAGGTCCGTTGGGAAGGTTTTCTGGAGGACTTGCGAAGGGGGCTCTGAGGAAAAGGGACCGGTTCCGGAGCGGCTCTGAGGAGGACAATGGGAGCTGGGCGTTGACCTCTGACCGCCTCTCCCATCCCTGTCTCAACCAATCCTGCTCCGGGATGGCAAGGGGATGTATTGTCATCCAGGAAAAAACCTCCTGCCTGATCCCAGAGCCTCCCTTCCGCTGGTGGGATGAAACAGGTTCTAAGTTTAGAACCGGGAGGGTTGAATGGTTTTGTCATCAAAGAGGACGAGGTTAAAATAAAGAGTGAAATCCTAGAGTCGAGGCGATCTTTGTCGCTGTGGTCACACCTGACCTGACGCTCCCTCCCTTAGTCAACTCGACGCTTTCAAGGGAAATCAATGGCCAATTAAAAGCACACAAAACCATTAACTTTGCTTATTTCAATACCTGATGCAGTCTGACTCAACAATTTATCTCGCAATACAGAAACCAAAGACTGATGATTGCCACTTTGCTGTTACGTTAGCCAGCTGTTCTTACCCAACAGCCCCTCCCACATCCACCAAACTGCTCCGGTTTGCAGAAGAAAGCACCTAAAATGAAAAATCCGTGATCATGTTTAACAGAAGTACAAAAGGTTTAGAGGAAGATCCATGTTGGCAGAAAGAGAAACCGTAAGAATAAACTGGAACAGTTAGAACCAGTTTCCTGCATCCGGTTTCTACACCGGAGGACGCAAAACTGAGATTCATTTCTTATAAGTCACGTGGCGTCGTAGGTTAAAAGAGGCCACACCACTCATCACAATGTCTGTGACCCTTTGTAGGAGCCCAGCAGCTGATAGGAACTGGAAACGTGACCTCTGAGGTTAGCCTGAGTTAATTTAAGAAAACCGTCACCTCAGAAATAAGAACAGAAATTAAACGGGGCATTACATGACATTATGGTCGTCACTGTAGTCTCTGCCAACGCAACATCGCAGATACAAAGCAGTGGTTGACAGACTGTTGTCATGCCGGGCAGTGAAAATGCAGTTTCGCCATCGCAGATCTCTTCTCCTTTTGCTTTCACGCCACACAAAACATTTGAATAACATTTGTAAAATCAAATGTTTCAAAATGATGACTTCATTTATTAAACGTAAAAAACTGTCCAAGTTATCTGGGTGAAAATGTAAGTGTCCTCAATGTTAAATCATAAATTAACTGTGAGCATTTTTGGTTCAGTTTCATCAATCTCACCTAAGCCATACCTCCAAAATCCATACGTTCTAAAGCAAGATCTGTCTGAAAACATGAAATACGCTAAAAGATCTGGAAAAGAAACACATTCAGAAATTCAGAGTTAGGAAAAGGACATGCAATCTCTGTTTTAATGATGCTACTCGTGCTAACAGGACTATTTGCTAATATGCTAAAGATAGTTTAGTACACTCTGGATGTTTTTGCATCAGTAACAAGTGTAAGAAATATAATGTATGGAGGGTAGATAATTAATGTCTGAAAGAACTGCACAGCATTCCCTCAGTGTCTTCTATTTACTGAAATCATCTCTAAAAAGAAAGTAAATCAAGCTGTTAGCCTTTGAGGATCTCTTCACTTTTGCCTGCTTCCTTAATATCTGTTTGATGCAAGTTAAGGAAGAAATGATGAAAATAAATCAGTTTTGTAAACAAAAATGAGACATAATTCTGAACCTGAACCCTGAATGTGTTTTCCAATCACAAAATAAATATATTCCTATTCAATGTTGACTTTTCCAAGATTTGCATGCAGAAGTAAAAAAGTATAAGATTAATTACGCTTCTATGATGTGAAGTTTCTTTAAATGGGGACTAAAAATATTGGTGATATCGGGGTCTTATTAATGAGCTACTTTGTAATGAGAGGCGTGAGTGCGACTTTTAAATTAGCATATAAATCATCTTCATTTCTTGGATTTTGTGTGAAGCCCTTTGGACACATTGCATATGCTAAGTGCTACTACATAAAAAAAAACATACATTGCCCTCATTTATGAGGGCTCTAATTGCAAAGATGGAAGTAAAATTACAGAGGGGACAAAAAGGTGGAGTCTGGTTTTGATGCTTCATTTTGCGTCAGTGGGTCTAATTTAGTGGATCACTTCCTCTCTTATTGCTGTTCCCCAATGCTACAGAAGCACTTTGCACCATTTTCAAGCTATGTTTAACTCAGAAAAGCACCATCTCTTGTGCAACGTCGAAAACTCCTTTGATTCACCGTTTGGTGACATCTTACGCCGTACGTGCTAATCAGCGAAACCCTCTGTGCTCGTGACGGCGTGCATGTAGGACGGGTTTCGAAGCTCCTACTTGTTTTTGTGCCGATTTGTCTTTCATGTTAGGAAGTTGAGCCAACAGACGGAAGCATATTGAGGAAAGATGTGTCAACAGTTCCTGTTCTTCACTTCCTCTCTTCTCAAAGGGAAAGTTTGAGTCCCTGAAAGTGTGTTCATTTCAAAAACATTTATTTTTATTTATTTTATTTTTTTTTCCATTTCTGGGAGGAATGTTTCACAAACGCCATCTGACTTTAATCTTTCATAAAACTGCGGCAAATATTGATAAGCGGGACAAGATGGTGAGGATTATTTAGTTAGAGACAAAGAGCTTCACGCGGATGAGATGATGCTTTATTATCATGTTTCATGCTTCAAAAGGAAATTAGGGATTTTCACAGCCTCTCTGTAGGCTTTGCGTTAACCAAACAAACTCCGAACAAGCAACACAAGTCGAGGATTCATCCTTTTTCCTTCCACGTATCATATTCTTTCACATGATTTATGTTCTGGGAAGAAAGCTAAAACAAACAAAACGTCAAGGAGAAAAGTCACACCGTTCAATAAATCCGTTTTTTTAAGGATAGATTAAACACTTTCTTAAAAACTAGTTTCCTCTTAAACATTTTGTCATTTTGTACATAGTGTGCTTGTGCCATTAAAGCACTTAGCAGCTGAAGTACAATCACATTTGCCAGTGTCTTGAATTCCCGTGTGCGCAGCAGATTCCACAGATTGCCGAGCCGTGTGGAGATTCCTCGGCCCTCCGCTCCTCTGTGACACAGACCGTCCTCTGTTGTCCCGGCCAGGGTGAGCGGCGTCCTGTCCCAAGTCGCAGGGATGCCCAACGTCAGCTGGGACGCCCACCGAGCGCCCAGGAGTCCAGTAGCATGGCTGAAACACTCTGTATTTCTCTTTCCACTTGTCTTCATGGAGATTAGCATATCTAATGGCTAAGTGAGTTTAATATGAGCGCACACCATGTACAATTTAGGACATTTAAAAAAAAAAATCAGATTAGTGTAATGCATCATTCTTAATATTTTCCAACTAGCACTCCCATCAAAACTCTTCAGTGTGGAAGTCACTACCAACTGAAGATGGGTTAGCTATTCTTGGTTTAGCGAGGTGTTCGTTTTGAAGGCAGATGTAGCTCAGAGATGCAAGATGGTATTTAAAATAATTCAGTTTTGACATCAACGGTTTTCCACTGCAATTGGCAAATTTTAAACCCTCAAATTATCACTTTTCTTAACTTTTCTTTTTTGTTTTAGAATATAACTAGTCAAAGAATTTTTTTTTCTGCTTTTGGACTGCATCTTTTTTTTATATGCTGCCTTAGGTGCGTGACACTTTTGTAGAAATAAATCTTAAGCTTTAGCTCCTGCTTTGTTTTTAAGATTCACTTCACAGCTTGACGTGATCGTGTTCGAGACCCGGCCTGTTTTCCCTCAGAAAGTTCTGACAACAAATTTCAGTTTGGTTTGACAAAAATGGCGCCTAAAACTGAACGGGAGGATTAGCTTCTATTTTTGCTTTTTCGCAAAAGGGAAAAAATTACATACAATGTCAGACAGTTAAAATAGGCTTTACCTTTTATCATTTTAAGATGCTGCAAAGGACGTTTATTGTATTTTCGTAGGTTTCCAATCACATAAAGAAAGAAAGAGTTTATTTTAAACTTATTCTCGGTGCTATCACTTGTCACCAATCATTGCTGCTCTGTGGTTTGCAACAAACATTTTCTTTATTTGGACTCACTACAGATTGAACCAAGAAGCTTTCTATCACAAACCGATCAACTAAAGTCATATAATTTCCTACCCTGTAGCAGAAGTTATCAACAAGAACAATAGATGCAATAGCAGATGTGGCAAGCATAGTAGCTTTGCACAATCAACTAAACACACGCACACATAAAGCATAAGAATTTATGCTTGTGGGACAGTTTCACAAAAATCTTTCTGTTTTAGCATGGATTATGTATTTAACATAAAGGTAGCTAAGAAGATATAAGTTCAATATTGTGTCAAAAAGTAACTTTATTAATCCTATGTGGCCAGACCAAGACACATCATCACTGAAAGGGCAATTATATCTAGTTCCTTTCAGGGAAACTCTGCAAGGAGTAACAGTAAAATCAGAGGAACTTCCCCTACTCCAACCTCAGCAGACCAGAAGGCCGCCTTCATTGTCAAATCATAGCTTCCAGTTTTTTATTCAAAATTACGTTTAAACTCTCATTGTATGTATTCCTTCCTATTTGTGTGTGCTGAACATCGCCTGTTACCCAACAATATTTTTATGAACTGCTTTCTCGTCCAAATAACCAAACACACACTGCATGTCTGACGTCGCAGCTAAATGACGATCCCTCCTCTTT